TGTAGTGATAATTTTGTAATGATAATACCAAAACATCAAGTTGGCTCAATCGTCGTTTTGTGCGGTGCTAACGATTTAATAACTATCTTTGTAGCTCCAGAATGTTTCATTCGAATGACTGTGCAAATGATTGAATTCATTTCGGTCTAATTCAATCTACGAAGAAAAAATCACGCTCTGTAGGGTTTGAACCTACGACATCGGGTTTTGGAGACCCGCGTTCTACCGAACTGAACTAAGAGCGCTTTCTTATCCGAATAGAAAAGACTATAAAGAAAAGGATTCTTTTTCAAACCCTAATCCACTTTAAATCATTTTATACGCATATATTCTATAGTTTCAAAAAAATGAATGATTCTGGGCAACTTGAATCGATCTCAGTTGATTCCTCGTTACTACTCAAAGGGGCAATAATTAGGTAGGGATGACAGGATTTGAACCCGTGACTTTTTGTTCCCAAAACAAACGCGCTACCAAGCTGCGCCACATCCCTTCAATTGCCCTACAGTGTCATTGTAGAGACTTCATGTCTTGTTTTCCACACCCCCCCTCCGGCGAGAAAGACAATTTCTGCCCATTTCGTCTTTTTGATTTTATTATTTTGATCTTATTTTGATCTTATTATAATAATTATAATATAATAATAAGAAAATGAAAAGATTTATTATATTAAAAATATATATAATATTATAAATATATATATTTATTATATTATATATATGAAATATATATATATATATGAAATATATATATATATATATATATATATATATGAAATAGAGTACGAAATACCGAACCCGACAAAAAAATAAGCGAGTATTTTTTCAAAATACTTGCTAAGATAAGAGGGGATTCATTTTGTTCTATTTTAAGAAAAGGAAAATCTTATGATTGTTGTATAATTCAATTTGAATTAGGGATTACGTGTACAACCAACTTTGGGAATCGGCCACATCAAAATATCTTTCTCAATTATTCTTAAGAACTTTAGGAATGAAAGTCTGCCCCCGAAACCCTTTATTAATTCATAGAATAATAGAAAGGAAAAATTGAATAGATGTATTCATTGGATATTGGATCTGTCGGGACTGGCGGGGCTCGAACCCGCAGCTTCCGCCTTGACAGGGCGGTGCTCTAACCAATTGAACTACAATCCCAGGGGACTAAAGGATCTAGCAGAAAATTTGATTCTTTTTTATCTTCATATGGGATATTTAAGGGGGTTATACCATCTCACAGTCGATGGGCGAAGTGTTGGGCCGAGCTGGATAATTGTTGTACCTCACAAGTCACATTAATTGGTTGACCAACAGTATCTCGGCCTTTAACTACCAGAGCGTGATAAATATTGGGCATCTTACCCGGCGGAAAGGCTACATCTAGTACCGGACCTCGGATATTACTGAACTTTATAGAAGAGTTATATATCGGAATAATATTCTTACCGATCTATTAACAACAAGTAAATTTATTCCAGAAGAATTAGTAATGTCTCGGGAGAATTTAATACAAGAAGCCGTGGATGCACTTCTTGATAATGGAATCCGGGGGCAACCGATGAGGGACGGCCATAATCAAGTTTACAAGTCATTTTCAGATCTAATTGAAGGAAAAAAAGGAAGATTACGTGAGATTTTCACCTCATACGGCTCCTCCCTTATGTGCATAAGGAGAATAATAAATGAAATAAAAAAAGATGAAACTCTTCTCATGCCTTGTTAATTTAATAATTCAAATAATAGAAATTAAATAATCAAGGAGATTTTTATTGTATGAAAGCGCTGATCTTTTTCCAAGTGTCTCAGAAACTAACGGAACTAG